AAAAAACCCGTCAAGCCTACACCTAAACGCCGTCGATAAATGGCCTGGTGCAACAAAAGCGATTCAACTTGTCATCAAGAAGAATGAAAACATACAACCCATCAGCCGTGATCACCATGGGTAGAGGAGCTGATAAACTTAAAAGACCATCACTAGCAACTTCACTTTGGTCGTGGCTGCCATCCAGGTGGTGGTAAATTCGTCGGCGCTATGTGCGGTGGTGGAACCGAAGTATTCGGTAGTAGTGGTATTATGGGTGGTGGTACGGTAACGATAGTTGGAACGTACAGATTTGGCCTGGAAAGAAGCATTTAAAAAACGAAGAAAAGAACATTTTCCTGGACTTACAAAACGAGAGAAGGAGGAGGAACAGACGGTGGTGGAATGGAGAAGTTCGGAACGGCAGGAGGTGGCGCATCCCATCTGTTCCTTGGCGAAGCATACTTGGGGAACTAAATGAAGTGACAACCAGTGATATCATTTGATACAAAAAATTCAAACCTGTGGAGTTATCGGAGATGGATTATTGGCCGTAGATGCACCTATGGGAGCTGGCGGTGGAGCAATGACCGTTATTGGTGGTGGCTGAGCAACAACAGGCGGAGGAGCAACCTGTTGAATCAGCGAAAAGGAAGTTCTGCGCTCCGCCGATGCTGAAGGTGGTGGCGGCTGAGACAGAATTGGTGTGGTAACAGCACTGGTCTTTCTCTGAAAATAAATATGCTGACCACGCAGAAATTAGGAATCGTATAAAATCTCACCACAGGCAATGGTGTTTGTGGCCCTGTTGGTGGAGGAACACTGAACATTGGAGATGACGCAGTTGTCAATAACCCCAGATTGACCGCAGAATTGTTGGAGCTCTGCAGATGCGATAAAGGTTGGACAGAAGACAAACTGAACATAATCGTACCGTAAGAGTAGAAGGAGCGGTGCTTGGAGGCACGCGTGTCTCTAGAGAGAGATTCGTGATTCTCTCGCTAATTTCTCCGGGTCTTAAAGGATCGGTGGTGGTTGTTGGTGCCTTAATAGATGTACATATGCTACTTGAGAAAGTCTATCACATGATCAAAACAACAGAATGAGTAGCAAACTCGGCATTGCATCTGCATTAAAGGCAGCGTCCCCTCAAAGTGGGGTGTACCTGCGAACTGCGTTGCGATGGCAGGCCTCCAGACTAAGCGAACCGTGAAGTCCGCAACAAAAAAGCGTGCCTGGGAGGCCTAAAATACGTCTCGGAAGTCTCCCGCCCCTTTCCAGGCTCCGCCCACCGCGACACCCAAGCTAAGGATTCCTTCATGCCTTGCCGCAAGCTGGGGCACCCTGCAGCAGCCTGTGACGTAATATGAAGGTACCTTGGGCTTGGATGTTGAATTAGACGGTAGGCGGAGCTTGGAAAGGGGCGGGGTCCGGAAGAAATTTGAGACGAGATTAGGCCTCCCAGGCACGCTCTTTTGCTGCGGACTTCACTGTTCGCTTAGTGCGGAGGCCTACCATCGCAATGCAGTGAGATCTAGGTACACC